TGCACATTTATAATCGCCATTAACAGCCACTATTGACGCACAAATAAAGCTATATGACGATCCATTGAAATAATATTAACTAAACTAACCGTGAATAGTTGTGTAGATGAGCGAAGATGAAAGTTAGCAAAGCACCTTTAGATATGATGAAGTCAAATTACTGTTCTGACCGGTGCCGAAGGACAAGCCAAAAATTTGCCTAGAATAATGACTGAAGACTAAATTCGTGCTACAAAACAATAACACGCCATAAACGGAAGATGAAGGGTCGGAAAACAGGACGGAAAATTTTCCGCCTAGGAAAACGTCAAGGAAACGAAATTATAGTTATGAATGTTTCGAGCTTTAAATTATCGAAAACCATGTCACTCAATAAAAACGTGCGATTAACTTACTTTCTTCGAATTTCTCGCCATCTAGTTATGTGCTGTTCCAGCAGACCCTCGGGCGACATTTCCTTCGGTGGGTTCTATAACTGATTGTTTGAAGTCGCTTGAAACCCAAAAGTTACCTCAACGTTGATGACAAATGGCTGACCAGGTGAGGGGAGCGGCGGAGGAACCCGTACTTCATTGTCAGAAAGGCCGTCGCTGGGTTTAGGCAAGGCATAATGACAGTCAGGTAGTTGATCGTTGCCCTAAAAGGAAGGAAAAGCGTGTGACCGTGAGATTGTAAGCAGGCAAAAAGAACCAGTTTACGACTGGCGGTTAACGGAGTTTTTATTTAATTAAACGGGTGAATGCAACTCAAGCATGAGCGTTCGAAACGTAGGTAGCTGAAAGAATACCTCGCGCTCCTCATCTTGGTTTGGAATATCATTCCATGACGAAGTATCACTTTGGTTTAGATTTCTAATCCAGGCCCGGGCCATTGGGTAAAGTGGAGAATTTTCCCCAAACTGCCCAAAGTCAACGCTGCGTTCAAACACTTTGATAACGAAAGACTCTGAAGGAGATAAAAGTTACTTGAAATCTTTACCTTTATAGTTATCCTCTTCGTCGGAGTTCGGGCCGCGTTTGCGGCGTTTGATTTCTCCACTACCACATTTGTAAAGTGGAGATCGAAATTTGTCCTTATCGAGTTCCTCTTTACGGTTTACAACTTCATCCTTATATTTCAAGCTCTCCTTGCTACAAATTCGTGGTGACAACTTAAACTAACACTTTATCTGGATTTTCCTGATAGGCATACAGAATTTGTTCAAGATTTTCTCTCGCAAGAGAAACGTCGGCTTCTAAAAGAGGAAGTGAAAATAAGAAACCACAAACCATCCGGCTCTGGCCACCATGCGCGTTCGTTCCAGTTGGACGCCATAATTCGAAAAAAATAATTCTAACTGTAAACCCGAGATTTGTATTTGGCGGTCCTCTGCTCAAGGCACAACTACGTAAACTTGGAGTTCAATCCAAGGAAGTTCAATTAAAGGCAAAGTCTTTATATTCAAATCCCGGAAATAGGGCAAACCAGAAACCAATGCATACGTTTATGTGTAAGCCACGGTTCCCTGAACAGCGGAAGAATTTGATATGCATTTACCCAAAAGGCTGACTTGTAGCCGGTGCTGGCATCCGTAAATTTGTGGAGAATTACAAAATTATTATTATTTATTTATTTTTGCCTTGGTTATCCTGTTTCGAATTTAACGTGACATTAGCAGGTAACTTGGAAGCCGTTTATGTAATTTCATTGGTTATGTTTTTGTTTAGCCACCTCATTTTATTCAAAGGCGCAAACATTTCATCGCGGTTATTGGTATATATTCCACCCAAAACCTCTGAGATTCAAAAACGTTTGGTATTACCGCGCTACAGTAGTCGCCGGTTATTAAGCCCATGGTTAATAGGCCCAGTCGCGTATTAAGCCCAAATCAGCTTGGGACGGAATTT